CTCTCTCTCTCTCTCTCCAGCCACCCCTCTGCCAACACCCTGAGCTGAAATCCCATACACCACCACCCACCACAGGACCTCAACCCCCCACTTCCTCCAGGCATCCACCAACGGCACCACCATGGCCAACGCGCAGCTTAAGGTGGCTGGGGCTGGTGGTTGGTAGCTCTCCCTTCCCTAACTCGAACTTTTCCATTCATCACTCCCAAAGTGAGACGCTCTCCTTCCTTCCCTCCTTCCCTCCGTCCTTCCTTCCCTTGCTTCCCTATCCCAAAGTGCACACCCAGGCTAGGTTGGGAGAGATCCCCTTTCAGCCTGTTTTCATGACAGAGTCAAAAGGGCGTGTGAATGGGGCGTCCGTGGGAGCTGGACTGTGTGAGGCGCGCACTGGTCTTCATGCACAGTAGGGGTTGAGCGGAGCCCCCCGGCCCTTTTCTATTGCCTGTAATCTCATTTGGCCTCCCCTCTCCCTTTTATTTGACTGAGGAGCTTGGACTGCTCACACTGCCCATTTCTGCCCAGATTCCTTCCCCTCTGACATACAGGGTAATTCATTTCCAATCAGCAGCCTCGCTTGCAACACTCAAACTTCTACCTTTAAAATTAGGGACTGCGAGGCCTTCAGCGGGACACCTGTGCCTATTGTTTCCCACTGTCAGCTTTTGTGGGATTGTTTAAAGCACACAGTTAGTGGCGAGGTATCTTACAATTAGTATTCTGCGTGTGAAGCACCTGATGGATGTCTCCAGTATATCAGCTGTACTTGTCAGGTTTCGCTGATAGATTTACCACGCTGACCCTCTTTCATGTAAGAGAGTGTAAACATGGTTGGGACAACCGAAAAGAAGCCACTGACTCTGAAGACTAATGCGATATCGAAGGTAAAGATAGATGGAAGTTGAATAATGTGTCAGTGCTTGTACCTGCACTCATTTCTCACAGCAGCCAGGAAAGGTGTATATTATTGTAATTGCCCTAGTTAGTCATTTGTCAGCAAAAGCCCAGAGAACAGGCAGTGCTGAGCCTTAGGCTGGAAACTGTTAAATGCTATGTTTTGTAGCAGCTTGCAATAGCCTCAGATATATAACCTATTTTCTAAGGTCGGGTGTTGTTTGGCAGAGATCATTTAGATCATTACTTTTATACTGTGAGCCTCAGATACAAATGTACATCAATACAAAATACAGCAATAAAGATTCGGGCGTTTTTCTTAGCAATAACTTGTAAATAATTTACCTTTATCTAGCACAGGGCCGAAGATGGCCAGGTTGTCCTTGATGGTGGTACAGTTCCACCGGCGGCCCCTAAACTGGTGCTGGCATTCCTGGATCCCCAGCTTGACACCTTCGGCAACGCTGGGCATGATCTCTATGTAGTTGCGACAGAAACGCAGCTGCTTGGGCACCAGGCCGGGGATAGAGCCACACAGGATGGGTTGGGAGCCCAGAGACGAGTACTGCTGCCCAAGGGCCAGGGACCTGTGACACACAGAGAGGGGAAGCATCATTAAGCGAGATGTGCTGGGCATGAAAACACCTCCATCTGTGTTCAGCACTGGGGGATTAGGACTAAAAAGAACTGCAGCATGATTAAAATAGATCCTAACAGGCCATCACTGAAAATACAAATGAGCTTCATTAAGGTTGGACTGAATATAGGACTATCTTCTATAAGTTTATATTGAACCTCAATGCTTTTTTGCTACTGGCTAAGGTGTCTGTAGATACTGATGTACAGCAACATTTAGCCAATTTTGGACTATTTTAATTTAAAATCTGGTTTCCTTCTCTCAGAGGTATCAGAAAAGTATATTTGCATCTGCACTGCTATAGAAACATTTCAAATAATACCCAACCCTAGCGCTTTTACCCATTTTAAAGGATTAAGAAAGTGAAATTGCCTCCCTCACAGTACAAGTCTGTGGCCCCCCTGAACTCAGCCCCACAACAGCACAATAAATTATGGTGACCTGAGTCGTCTGTGAAAGGCAACCTGCTCTACAAGGGAGTCTGTATTCATTATTAATCTCAGGCTCGGTGACTGCACAGTGATTCATACTTGATTGTTTTATCGACTTATCTGCGTAATGTAGTTTATACTTAGAGTTCTTCTGTTTATTTTGTAATTTTTTTCCCACCAGGAGGGGTTAGGCTAATAGGCCCACTTCAGGGCAGGGATACAAGCTATTAGTACTGACTTTTCAAAGTGTTCCCACTTGTTAGCATACACAGATCTGCTGATCTAACAGATAACGCACAAGAACCTGTCTGCTTAGTTTGGGAAAAGCCCCCTTACACTATTTCAAATATATGAAAACACCTGCCTCTGCAGTTCCATCATTCATTTGCGGTTATCCTCTGTAGCTTATTTTTTTAAGAATGACAGCGTACACAGCTGAGCTTGTTGGTGATGGATGAAAACAGCATATCTGAAGGTACGTGCCTCACCAAAAGGCCCGTGCAGATGTGCCTAAGCAGGGATTAATCACCACAACGAGACAGCCAAGATCAGCTTGTGATGCCAGAAACCATTATAGTTTCATTCAGGTAATTAATTTTAATTGCTTTTTATTTCTCTTGAAATAAAAGAGAGAGAAAACTTGTTTTCCATGCCCATGTTTTAACATGCTTTTTGTGATGACAAGCTGGAACAAAACTGTACGGTTTCACCCAGAAGGTCATGCAAATACTGTAGGATGTCAGACTAAAATTTCTTGTTTATTTATTTCTGGCCATAAATATATATACCAGCTGAAGAAACACATATTTCTGTACAGGTCCGCATTCTTAAGAGATGGATGCTTTACAATAGATGTGTGTGAGCTGGGTGTTTACAGAGTTAGGGATGTGAAGATGTGCTGCCAAATCCCAGCTCTAAGAGGAGAGCTTTACCGGTGTCGAGCACACTCTCCAGCACTTGGTTGAGTCTGGGCCGACATCGTGGCGCTGGAGGCCATGAGAGGATCATGGGGGAACAATTGATGCTGATCAGATCAGAGCACCACTCAGGATGACCTCAGGACCCCCGCAGGGCGCAACCCAATCATAGCAGCCACTGACTCTGACAGATGTGTGCGGCGCAGTGCCCCACCCCAACACAAAAGTCAAGCCATTGAAGTCAGAGGGAAAAAATCCCCCCTCAGATAGGTTCACAGCTCATGTGCGCTTTTGCTTTCTATGTATGGCTAAACCCTGCCCCCACCTCCCGACACCCTTTGCCCCTCCCATACACTGTTTTTGATCTCAGGTGAGCATTGTTACAGCAGGATCCCAGGTATCAAGGTTTGCCAGTGGAGCTTACACACTGAGCCATGAGAGTTGTTTTGCTTTTACAGCTGGTCTACTGGAATATATGATGATCACATAACCAGCCACTTGTGTTTTTGGCATGAGCCCTCTGACTGACACTGATACACAACAAACAATTCTTATGTTTCAGTATCAAACCCTGTCTGATCACAGTTCCTCCAGGATAGTACAGTTACATAAACTATTCAAAACTTTCAAACACTTCTGTGCAGGAGGAAAAATATGTTTCATCTCTTTCATTTCCAACTGAAATGCTGTTTTGCCCAATTTGATGTTCTGATGAAGAGTTAGTAATTTGATAGTGCTCATCAATCTCCATTCATGTTCTTGCTTTGGATGTACCCAAGCGAAGGCAGCCACATTAGCTCATCTGCCAGTCCCAATCCCACCAACATCACTGAGTTCAAGTGTTGCTGACTTCACTCTGTCTGGTGACTGAGTGACTAAGGACCTTAATTACACTGTCTGCTAGCTTGGTTACTGCCCATTAATCTCTCCGTCATGGGATGGACCCGAGTGGATGATGCTCTGCACAGAGCTTGGGTTTGAACTCTGGTGTCACACGCTCCCCAACAACATCAGTCAATGCAAAGGAAAATCTCTCCTGCCCAAGTGAGATATCTCTGTATGTAGACAACTGTGCCAACCTCTGCTACATTTCGGGTTCTATTCAGGACAGCTAAACAACTTGCCCACCACTATGACATAGTGGCTTAGCCAGTAAATCTGGGATTTCTGATGGAATCAATTAGCTAACCGCATGGGACTCTGTGGTGGACATAGCATGTTTAGACTACAGACTGTGGATCTGCCAGCCTATTTGTCTTTGTTTGCAAAGGATGTGCCTCACTTGATCCGTATGGACAGATGAGATGAAAGGGATATCTTTTTGGCTAGGTGCTAATGAGAGTCTTAACCCTGAGGGGTTATGAGGCGTATCGTGCAAACAGACACACACGCAGACTCATGCATGCAGACCACATGTGTGCCATGCTGATCCTGCCTGCTTTGCCTCACTTCTCGGAAGCCACGAGCAACGTGTCTCAACCGAGTGAGGGAGCAGCAGACGCAGAGACCTCCACAGAAGCAGAATGCCGGGGGAATCTGCTGCAGGGGACGAGACAAGCAGCAGAGCAGCAGCGAACGGCAGGGCTTGGCAGGTGCATGCCCAGGCAGGTCCGTATGGGGCCTCTACTGCCCTGGGGGGTTTACGGCTCGGTTGGGGGTTTTCTCAGTATCTAAACTGGCTGATGTGAAAGTATGACGGGCCGCTGGAAACCACAGAAATGAAGCAGAGGAAACAAAGGGATTCCACCACACACCTCGCTGAAGAGTGGAAATTTACGCAATCAAGACTATAACACTGTAAACAAAAACTTCTGACTCAACCACTCCCAGTGTAATAAAATCACTACTACAATCTCTCTGCTGCTTGGTTAGAAACGTAGAGTGCCAGGAGTTACTTTACTGCTTCTCTCAGTTTTTATTTTGTCTGGGAGAAGCTCAGCTTTAAGCTCAAGAGGTGAGTCAAGGACTCTTGTACTGTCAGAAATATGTTGCAGCTGCTATTGTGGGAGGTCTACATTACGGGGGTCAGTGTGTAGCACATGTCTGTGCACAGATGAGCTCCCTTTGTGTGACAGCCTACTATGTCCAGAGGCACAAAAAGTACCAGGTGACCCTCTGAACCTGGTGAGAAGAACATGACATCTGACCTCACTGCCTTTAGCCTGATGGCCTTAGAAACAGTTTGAAGTTCATGACCAGTATGCAAGTTTCTAAGATCAGGTGCCTGCTCAAACTCAGATTATCTCTAGTGTGTACGTGTGATCAAACACATTTATATTTAATTGAGGAAAATAAAAATAAGTCAATTTATTCGGGACCTTGGTATTTTAAATTTTAGGTACTGAAAAAATAGTTTAAATTGCACAAGCATGACATGGTGAAACCTCCACATATGAGCATGCACAAATACAGACAACTCTGCTGCAACACTCCAAGGTACATTGTACCTGTGATCAATTTAGCTTTCATATCACTTTAAGGAATAATTTCATGCATTTTCACTTATAAATTTACATAGCTTTGCATCAGTGTGCCTCTCATATTTACATTTGAGACTTTTGCATTGATGATTACATTAAAGTCCCATTGATAAACTCTCACCTTGTATACAGGGGCAGATCTAGAGAAGTATCCATGGGTGGGCAAGAGGGTGGGAGACTTAAAGGGGTGCTGATTGAATCGCAAACAATCACATTCTGTATATCAATATTTGCTTGGAAAGCATCCGGATGAAGATATTTTAACTAAAAAACATTACATTATTGTGGCACATAAGTAAAAGATTGAACAGAAGTATCTGAACGTGGCATTAGAAATGAATACATTGTTTTATTTTAAAGGTTTAAAATGTGGCCTTAAGATATCATAACACGTTCTTTTGTTTAATTAATTAAAACACCAAAATTTTAAATTTTAATTGTTAGAATTATTTCGAGATTATTTCTTGTGAAGATAAATGTTAATTTCGGATGCCATCTTTGTGAAAAACAGGATTTCATTATTTTCTATCATTCAGCAAACTGAGGACTTTTGTTCTAACTAATTGGATAACATTCGAGGAATCTTCGAGGAATCTTAAAATGTCTTAAAAATATTTTTACGTGTTCTCAAACTAAAAAAAAAAAACTTTTTCTCCAATTTTATGTAAAAACAATTAGATTTAGAAATAATGCAACATATCACCTGCTGCTTACAATATCGCAACATATTGAATCGTAACCCCTGTATCTTCCTATATCCTGTATCCTACAATATATATCAGAATGTATTGAATTCTAACCCCTCGTATCGTCACACATATCGTATCGCCAGATTCTTGGTCCAGTATGTAATCCCTGGTGGATTGCACGAGTTAAGTCAAAGTTTTTAGTGGTTTGTAGTTCAGAACAAATTGGAATGTTTAAGTGGCAACCAAAGTATGAGAGTGAAGCAGAAAGGAAAAGAGAGGGATTAGAGAGCCTGTCACAATCCATCCCTCCATGCATTATTCCTTAGGCACTGTTCAAAGACTCATGGAAACCTGCGTGCATGTGTGAAGGCAGACTGAACTACACGGCTGTGTTGCTACTTGTAAGTTCCGACTTCCAACACGGTTATCACTA